TGTCTCGGACCTTGTTGTAAAGATCCTGAATTTCCTTCGATCTCTAGTCTTCCTCCTTGCTGTATTTGGTGTCTGTCATGATAGGATCAAGTTCAAGTGGAGTCAGGGGGTTCGAACCATAGACAACCGTGAAATGGGATAATCCTGTAGTCTTGCTCGGGGTTCGGTTGTAAGCAAACTCAGCGTGCGGTAGTAACTCCTCCCATTGTTTGGTGTTCTTCTTAATGAGGGCTCGGAGGAGAGTTCCAAGGGTTCGGTTGGTGACTTCGGTCTGCCCATCGGTTTGAGGGTGGCTCGATGTACTAAACTTGAGTTTAGTACCTAACTTTCTCCATAAAGTCATCCAAAAATGGCTTAGGAATTTCGTATCCCTATCTGAGACTATACTACGGGGAACGCCATGGAGTTTTACAACCTCTCGGAAGTAGAGATCAGCTACTTGTGAAGCGTCGTGGGTGGTCATGCATGGCACGAAGTGTGCCATCTTTGAGAAACGGTCCACCATGACCATGACTGAGTCTTTGCCGCGTTGTTTTCTTGGTAGCCCGGTAATGAAGTCCAAGCTTACGTCTTCCCATGGGGCTAAGGGCACGGGCAAGGGCATGTGTCTTCCTTGAGGTAATGAGCGGCTCTTGGCAAGGTGGCAAGTGTTGCATCGTTTCACGAAGTGTTCTACATCTTGTTCTATCTTCGGCCAGTAGTAGTTTTCCTTCATCATCATGTGAGTTTTGTCGACTCCATAATGACCAGCTAGGCCTCCTCCGTGGACTTTGTCAATGAGGGTCTCACGCGCACTGCATTTCGGGACGCACAGTTGGTTACCACGGAAGAGATAACCGTCCTTGACAAGAAAATCTCCATAGGGCCGAATGAGACACTTAGAATAAGTGCCTTTGAAGTCTTCATCCTCTTTGTACAGCTCCTGCAAAAACTCAAAACCAACAAGCTTGGTACTAAGTACCGTTAGTAATAAATGTCTCCGCGATAAGGCATCGGCGCCCTTGTTCATGATTCCGTTTTTGTGCTTGATGGTGAAGGTGAAGGTTTGGATATATTCAACCCATTTGGCATGGTGGGGTCGAAGCTTGTGTTGCCCTTAAATGTATTTCAACGCCTCGTGATCGGAGTGAAGGATGAACTCCTTACTCACGAGATAGTGTCGCCAATGCTAAAGGGATCGTACCAACGCATAGAATTCCTTATCGTAGGTGGAATAGAGCCTTCGTGTGTCGTTGAGTTTCTCATTGAAGTACGAAACCGGATGTCCCTCTTGAGTTAGGAGACAACCTCGATGCCAACTCTAGAGGCATCGCACTCTGCTTCGAACAACTTCTCAAAACTGGGAAGGGCCAATACGGGGGCATGCATCAAGCGAACCTTGATTGTTTCAAAGACTTATTGGGCCTTCAGATTCCATTCAAACTTCTTAATTTTTGTCAAGTCTGTGATGGGGGTGGTGATGGTACTGAAATCCTTTACAAAACACCGATAGAAAGAAGCAAGCCCATGGAAATTTCGAACTTGTTGCATTGTTGTAGGAGTTGGCCAATCCCTTATGGCCTACGTTTTCTATTCATCGACTCGAATTCCTTCACTTGAGATAAAGTACCCCAAGAACTCCGTCTCTTGAGAAAAGAATTGACTCTTCTCAAGGTTTCCATATAGCTTCTCCTTGTCCAACTTCTTAATCACCAAAGTGAGGTGATTAGCATGGTCTTCTTCGTTTCGGCTATAGATCAAGATGTCGTCAAAGTATACCACGAAAAAGTGGCCGATGAATGGTTTTAAGACTTGATTCATAAGTCTCATGAATGTACTTGGCGCATTGGTTAATCCAAATGGCATAACTAGCCATTCGTATAACCCAAACTTGGTTTTAAATGTCGTCTTCCATTCATCTCCTTCAAAAATTCAGATTTGGTGGTAACCACTCCTATGATCGATTTTAGAGAAGATCTTTGAGCCGTGGAGTTCGTCGAGCATGTCCTCAAGTCTAGGTATGGGATACCTATACTTGATGGTGATCTTGTTTATTGCACGAATGTCACAACACATTCGCCAAGTGTCATTCTTCTTTGGCACCAAAAGAGTCGGGACAACACACGGGCTCAAGCTTTCCCTCAAAAATCCTTTGGCTAGTAATTCATCAACTTGCCTTCGGATTTCCTTAGTTTCCTTGGGATTCATTCGGTAAGCTGGTTTGTTGGGTAGGGCTGCCCCGGGGATGAGATCAATCTTGTGTTGAATGTCTCGCTTTGGTGGGAGGTCGTGGGGCACATCTTCGGGAAAGACATGGGAGAATTGGTCCACAATGGGTTTGGCTAATGGGTGAAGAGGGAGTGGGATGGAAATGGGCTCGGGTTCTTCATTCTCGAAGAGAATTAGTTCCTTTTGGGGTTCATACTCATGGTGTTTGACTTATAATATAGTGGAAATAAGGGCGGGGGTTTCTTCTTTGGATGGTGGGGGAGCCGTGGGGGTAGAGGGGAGTAAGGAGGTGAGGGTAATCTTCTTCTTGTTGATGAGGAATGAATATGTGTTGGCATATCCATCATGGAATACCTTCCGATCAAATAACCAAGGTCGTCCCAATAGAATATGGCAGGCATCCATTGGAATGATATCACACCATATCTTGTCGGAATAACTTTGTCCAATGCTCAATGATATCAAACTCTGAGAATCCACACGTAACCCCTTACCATGATTCAACCATTGAATCGTGTATGGCTTTGGGTGTGGGGAGGCCTTCAACTTCAGCTTATCTACCGATGTAATACCTGGGCATGCCCTACCCAAACTCTTGAACGTGCCACAAGTGTTCAAACAAATCAGGGGATTCGTGATTTAAGTGTTATAATCCTTATTGGATTGATTTTGGTCATTTCTTCCATTCAGGAACGCCACCCAACACCCTTGTTTTCGAACCCCCTTGGCCGCCCCAACCATGTCCAAACCCACCCTAAACATCCAAAACACCTTGCTCTTTATTTCCTTTAAAAAATAAAGTCTTCCTACACCTATTTCCACCCCATGGCCAAAAATGTATAAAAGACAAACCGTAAACGTTTTTGTTTATAGTTATTTACTTCTTTTAAGCCTTTTAATAAAGAAATGCACCTTGCTCTTGCTCCTTTCCTACCTTGGCCAAAAATACCCAGCCAAAACCCCTCCCCAAACCCATGCCATAACCCCATCCTTGCTTCCCATTATGTCCATCAACTTGAATGCACAAACAACCAATATGATCCAAAACATAATGGCCCACCATCCCACCAATTAGACCTCACCTTGTTCCCCATAAAATACCCACAAGAAGCCCCCAAAAAACCCAGTCATTCCCTGCATAACCCCTTCCCCCTTGGCCAAAATATTCCCCTCCAAATCACCAAAGGAGATGCCATTCATATCCCCCTGATGTACCTTCACTAAAGACCCTACAACCACACCCCCCATCTCTGATTCCCCCCCACCAAAAGGACAATAACGAGTGGCTCTTATTTTCCTTTGATTTGTGTGAATAAGAGACCTTAGAGTCTCCTTTATGTATCTATATAAACTGAGGCCCTATGTCCATGGTAGAACATCTCTGAATATTGAAAACATTTTTTTTGAATGCCTATTGAAAACCTTTTACTCTTTTAGTATTCATAAAATAGTGTGATGCTATTTTAGTCAAATTCCTAATTTTATATCTTAAAAGTGGTTATCTTAAGTGTGAGTTTTAGATTCTAGATATTTGATTAAGTGTGTCATATCTTAATTAAATTCTATATTCAAACCCAAAGTTAGGATAAGAGTGTGTAATATCTCTTAAACACCAACTTGGTTTATACATCCCTAATTTTCTTCCATTTCATATCTTCCCATTTCTCCTCTTAACCTTACTCTTTTATTCTATTAAAATACCCTAAAGATCTCTTTCATCATCTCCATATATTTTCAGCCATTCCCTACACAAAACATCCTTCTTCCTGCCCAGATTTCTGATTGACAGTCGATTATCATTTCACAACAATCGACTATCACTGCCCCCTAAAGTCCTGCAGTCACCAACAGTCGATTGTCACCTTTCTGTCAATAGACTATCTGCCCCTCCTGAAGTCCTGAGGATTTCTCCTAAGAAACTGAACAACCTGTTAATCGATTATCACGATTGTGACAATCGACTATCTGGCCTTCCTAAAGTTTAAAGGCTGTTCTAGATTTACTTCCAATTCCTCCGTAATTCAGCCCTCAAATTACTTACATGATAAGGCCCCTGGTTAGGGTATAACAACCAATGTTTTTGAAGCTACGTTGGTACAACTTCCGCTATCCATGATCAAAGTACACACCTTCTTTTGGATAGTACAACGGGTATGGAAGATGTTTTCCCGTTGTAGTTGACCAAGAGTTCTCCTTCGTCGGCTCCTACACACTCTTCTTCTTCAATCTCTTCTTCAGCCCATGAGGGGCTGATCTCCTCTTCTTCATACTCAACAATGGCCATTATCTTTTTGTTAGGACATTCATTGGCAAAATGACCTATGCCTTGGCAACGAAAACATTTGGGAGTTCGGGTGTTTGTTTGGACTGTTTTGAAGGGGGTGGGTTGGAGGAAGTAGACGAGATGGAGTTGGGTTTTGAAGGGGTGTTTTGAGCAGGGGTGCTTGGGGTTGCTTTTGAGGTAGTAGGAGGGGGTTTGGAGAAGGGGGAGGTACGAATAAACGATGTTTTGTTTCTCTTAAGTTGGGATTCAACTTTGAGAGCCTGCTTAGAGAGTTCTTCAAAGGTATCATAAGGCTGCAGCTCAACTACATTAGCTATTTGAGTGTTTAATCCAAATAGGTAACGTACCAATGTTTGTGAATTGTTTTCTTGAAGGTCACACCTCATTAAGGGGCTGTTTGGCAACTTCTGAATAGGTAAGTGCTGAACTAGTAAGAGGTCTGAACCATTAAGTGCTGAACCAGTAAGAGGTCTGAACCATTAAGTGCTGAACCAGTAAGAGGTCTGAACCATTAAGAGCTAGTATATTGCTTAACTATTAAGAGGCAAATGTCTGATCAATTCAGATAAGAGGTCTTAACCATTCAGACTCTATATAATACTTAACCATTCAGAGGCAAATCTCTTAACTATTCAGACATCTGAACCATTAAGAGGCTGAAACAAACAATCTGAACCATTAAGTGTTGAACCATTCAGACATCTGAACCATTAAGAGGCTGAAACAAACAGCCCCTAAGAGTTCTTCAAACTCCCGAGTATAATCTTCAACCGAGCGAGGACCTTGCCTTAGGTGTTAAAGCCGGGCAAAGTTGTCTCGTACATATTGTTCGGGCAAGAACTTATTCTTCAACAAGCTCCTCATTTTGAGCCAGGTCTTCACGGGAGCCTTATTCTCTCGCCTTCTTTGGTTGGAAAGGTTGGACCACCAAGTGGAAGCATACTTCAGGAACTTCAGCGCCACAATCTTGACTTTCTTCTTTTCGGGCACATCTTTGAAGTCAAAGACGCACTCAACAGTTTCGAGCCACTCTAGAAAGTCATCGGGATCGTTCTTTCCTTCAAAGGTTGGTATGTCAACCTTGAAATCAGTAGCTCCTCGTTCGTGATTCTCTCCTCTAGTGGTGTTACTAGAGTTAGCTTTGAGAGGAACTTCTTCTTCTTCATCTCTTTCCTCCGGGGTGTTCACCATGCTCATCTTGAGCTTAGTGAGTTGGGCAACTTGTTTTGCCAGGTACTCAACTTGGGGTTTGAGAGCGGCATTGGAAGCTAGGAGTTCTTCGTTGGAGAGGTTGTTGGAAGTATTTGACATGATGATAGTAAGGAAGGAGAAGGAAAGGGAATATAGTAGTAGTTTATGGAGGGGAAAATAAATGGAAGTGTGTTGTTTGGCCTCAAGAGGATGCTCAACAATAAGCTCTGATACCAAATGTTATACCTAAGCTCCAGAATTAGGCTTAAGTTTAAGAACAAAACTCCTTAAATTGCAGGGAGAGGGTTAATCGATTATTCAGGTATGATAATCGACTAATAGGTGGTTTAGTTTCTCGGGAGAAAACTCGGAAGATTCAGGAAAGGTAGATACTCGATTAACAAGATGATGACATTCGACTATTGAAGGCTGCAGGTGCTTCACGAGGGCTAGATACTCGATTGTTAACAATGATAGTCGACTATTTGACGGGTTCTAGGAAGGAAAAGGAGTATTTTGATGAAGGAAGACAAACCAAGTTGGTGTTAAGAGATATCACACACCCTTATCTTAACTTGGGGTTGAGTCTAGCATTCAAATAAGATATCACACACTCATTTAAATAACTAGAACCTAAAACTCACACTCAAGAGAACCACTCTTAAGATATAGGATTAGGAATTTGAATGAGACACACAAGTGAATCACTTTTGATTAAAAATGGAATACAATATATGTTTACAATACCCAGGGATGAGCTTATATAGGAAGAGAAAAATGAGACTACCAAGTCTCTTATTCACACAAACTAAAGGGAATAATAGCCACTTGTTGGTGTCCCTTTGGTGGGGAGAAAATCAGGGAGGGTTGTACTTGTAGGGTAAGGTTTTTGGCCATAAATGGTGGGATGGAATGTGTGAATATAATTCACAAATTGATTGGCTTTGGTGGGGTTATTTTTGGGCAGGAGAAGTGGTGAAAGGGCTGATTATTTGGAGTCATTTCCTGGGCAGGATATGGTTGATACAAAGGAGGGTTGAAGGGTATGAGTGTGGGTTAAAGTGTCTTGGTTTTTAGTGGCTGTTTTGTTCAGCCTAGTTGGGGAGGGTAAAAAGGTGGTAAAGGCTTGATTTTGGGATGAGATTTTTGGTCATGGGTGGAGGGGAGAAAGGGAAGGGAATAAATTAGTTTTGGGCTGATCTTTGGATATTTTGGGACTTGGATTTGGGTGAGAACGGCCTAGTTTTAAGTCGGGGTTGGGCTCAGGGATATTATGGCTATGTCGTGGGTTTTAAAGCTGATAAGTTCGGCCCAAAAGGGACCATAACATTTAGCCATTATTCCGTTAATTTGCCTAATGACTTTAGGGTCGTTGGTAGTCACCGGGGTATATCAAAACCTGACTCTTGATGGAAAAGTTATTATCACCAGCCAAAATACGTACAGAAAAGTGGATTTGCTAAAATAGTAACTTTGATTTACCTACAGATGAGAACGTACTCACCAATACTACAGTCTGCTGATGATATGACGTATTGAGACTCATTAGCAGTTAGATTCGCTGTCCTGAAACACATTCAAATTTCGAGACGAAAAGTAAAAATGGCTAATGCGCTAAGATAACGACCCTTGAGTAATTGCCAAAGAGTGAAACATTGAAGGATGAAGACCTACGATTAGTAACGATAATTCGCAAACGCTATCCTTGTATCTTGTGACTCATATCATTGAGACACTCAAACTTGACGTGTTAATTACACTCTTGAAACAATCCACTTAATCAATCTTGAAACGATTGAATTCCATTGCTTGTACCAAACTATTGAACTTTGAAAGATTTGTCTTGACTTACGGTTCTCCATTACACTCAAAAAGATGAATCGCAATACTGATCTTCGAAAACTTTACTACGTGAACTACGTGACTCGATCACAGCGCTAAAAGTACCCCTACTTGAATATTGTGATGAATCTCTCTTTGTAAATGTGATTACATTAATATTTTACTATATGGTATTGCTAAATCCACCCAAAAATGACTTTATTTTAATCTTTTTCCATAATTTGTTGAATCCACAATTCCACACCCATTACAACTTTGACATTGGTGTAGACTTTTGGAGTGGATTTAATTTATTTTAATATTTTTTATATGTGAATTTTGGGAAAAAACTACGATCGTGCAATGCACGAGTACAGATCTAGTGTAATCCAAAACACATGTTTGGCCAATCACACAATATTATATTAGAGGAGGTGAAAACATATCTTTTTAACCGTACGTGCTCTAGTTAGTATAAATTTTAACTAATTTTTTTATGTAAGTTGTATTGTTTATTTTTATACCAATTTATAAATAAAATGAATATAAAACTTATGAAATTTTACATTTTGTTTATATATGGTAGTTTATTTTGGGACATAGGGAGTAAGTATATAACTAGTTCAAATGGTAAAATAAAAGTAAAAATTTGAAATCACATGAATGTAATTGTTCACTAATGTACATAAATATAATAAGTTTATTGTTAGGCAGAATCAATTTCGGATATAATCGATTTCGAATCTTATTGGTTTTGGGCCTTGTTTGGAGTTTTATTGGTTTCAGATTTAATCAATTTTGGATTTAATCGGTTTCAAATTTAAATTAAGTATGAATATATTTAGTTCATTTTAGATCATTTTAGATATTTTATTATAAATCAAATCTTCACACTTTTTTTATCAATTCCTATTCTATTTTGCCGATCTAAAAATAACTATAGCTTTCTAAAACATTAGGTCTATCCAGCATCCACACGGACCACACTCCCGCTTTAGGTTTATGTGACATAGAGCATGCCCAGATGCATACTCAGGTTCAAGCACAATCGGAAAGATTACGGAGTAGAATTTAGAAGCCGTGAAACCTCGTTGTAACTTGCAAGCCCTAACTTTCTGTGGCTTCTCATCGTCAAGGTTCTAATAGAAAGCCGTTGAAGTAGGTGAAAGGGGCAGGAAAAGTAGAAGATGCCAGACTATGAAGGCAATGGAGAGGATGTAGGCAACCGTAGAGACAATTACGAAGCATCTCCCCCGCCCAAATCCACCGGCGTCTATGGCGGCGCTGAGGAACACATCGACTCCAAGTCCCAGGTGCTGCTCCCTGTATATGCCTTGCTTTTTTTACGGGTCTGAACTCTGAATTATGAACTTATGCTACTATGGAGTATTATTTACTATCATTTTTGAATGATATTAGAGTCAGATTTTGGTACTTCGATTAGGCGTTGATCCAAAACTTAAATACTTCTGGTATGATTGTCACTGTTTCTTTACTGAATTTCGTGCTCTAACGATTAGGTTTATGGTTTTGTCTGCATTATGATTTCACATGCAACTGTGGGTTATATGAACTTTTGAAAGGCCCTTGATGGCTGACGAATGTGACATTCATTGAATTATTCAAATACATGTCTTTTTTGGTTCTGCTTGATGGTTAATGTGACGTTCTTATATGATCTCATTTTGATTTAGAAGCTAATCTTCTATGTTCTCAACTTTTATGTCATAAAGAGAGATTTGAAACGAACTCGAATAAAGATATGTTGTTTTAGGTTCAGCTGCTTCTTGAATATGTATTATGTATATAATTCTCTTTCTCCAACACTAGCATTATGTGGTTACTATAGCTCCATGGTTTGCCCTGCTTTTTTTGAACACTATCATTCATCTCCTATTTCGTTCCTTGGTTGAAAATTTTATATTCTAATTGCAGTTGAAAGTTATTTTATGCACAACACCTCTTTTTCTTTCCAGCATAGTTTACGGGACTATGAGAAAGAACGAGATTCATCTAGAAGCAGGGACAAGGAAAGAGATAAAGTGCGTGATAGAGATCGAGATAGAAATAGAAATCAAGAGAGAGGGAGAGACAGGGATAGGGAAAAGATCAGTGATCACCACTATAGAGAACGCCACAAAGATCGCAGTGAAAGAAGGGAGAGGGAGAGGGAGAGGACCAGAGATAGAGACGATGATGGTAACTATAGAGGCCGTGACAGAGACAGGTAAGACTTTCACATCTAACAATTTTTTTAAATAGAAGTTTTGTATCGGACCTTTATATTTGAATACTAATAACTCTTTTACAATTAGCGTCGGCTCATGCATTTTCAACCTATTACATTCTCAACCTATTAAAGCACATAGAGTTACTGCCCCACTAGGGTTCAAACCTTTGACCTCTCATTTGGGAGACTCACTTTGATCCCGCCGGACTGGGACCACAAGGTCTTTGGCCTATCAGACCTTTATGTTTTATAGCTATCGCACATTATTATCATGCACGTTCTATATTCCAGCTTTAAAACTCCTTTGCTATCTAGATCTTATATGATGAATTTAGTTGATTATTAAGTTAACAAAAAGACTAAATATAAACTTCAACAAAAAGACTAAATATATCGATTTGAATTGCTCTGCAGGCGACGAGATTATGGAAAAGATAGAGAGGATAGGCACAAACGTAGGTCCAGATCTCCCTCCAAAGACAGATCTAAGCATATATCAAATTCAAGATCACCTACACACTCCAAAAGGTAAGCTTGTCCTATTGGTCATATTGCTATTTACGATACCCTTTTGTCACTTATTGAGAAAAGATACAATTGTACAAGACAATTCGTTCTTGTTCTCTTTTGAAAGCTTCCTAGCGTACTTCCATCCGGGATAATTTGAGCTTTGTCGTAACGTAGATTCTTTCCTGCTTTAAAACATACATAGTACTTCTCTGTCACATTTCTTCTTTTCATTTTCAATGGTTCAAATAAAATTAACCTTTCAATTAAAATCACCTATTTATGCCTATTCATTACGGAGTATTCCGTACCTGACACCTCCTACCTGTTAGCTATGAATCTATTCATTGCATCATATTCAAACCCTACCATGAAGTAAGGATAAAATGATAAAGTAAAACCCAAATAATACTTGTCTTAAACAATCCTGTATCCACTAACCATTGTAGAATTCTTACTACTGCACTACGCCCTCCGTCCTAAAACTTTTTTCTCATGTTGACTTGGCATGATTATTTAGAAAAGTGAAATTGTGTGTTTGTAGATGATCTAGAAGTGAGAAAAAATGTGTACAACTCACACATTTCCTTAAAAGGAAATGGGAATTAAATTGTAGGACAACTTTAAAAAGAAAGTGAGAAGAAATTTTTATGACTAAGGGGGTATATAAATATTATGTGATGAAAGCATTACAGCCGTAAAGAAATTTAAAGAAGAGGAGGAGGACGATGTAGGCTGGTGGAGTTTGAAAGATCTCTAGTTGCAATATTTTCTGAGAATAGTCAAAGTTCAAGTCTGTATTATTTACCATAGAAGAGCTACTTTGAATATTTTTACTAAAATAACTTTGGTACAAGTGAGGCGCCCGCCCTGCCACTTGTGTTTAAGGTGCTGAGTCGCACCTAGTTATGCATATCAATTTGCCTTCAAAGACCTAGTGGAGGTAGGCTGGTAGAGATTAAAGAAGTTTTGAGGAGGTGAAAGCTGTGCCTGCGGTATGTTTTATAGTTTGTATGTTTCAAGAATAGTCAAAGGCCAATCTGCATTATCAACCAGCCCTAGAAGAATTATTTTGAATTTCTTTAAAGATTAAGTTGAGCACAAGTGAGATGCACCCCTCCACAGCACCTAAAGAACTGAGTCGTGCCTAGTAATAGACATCAATGACATTGATCCCATCACTTACAAAAAGGTTTCATACCCTCTGCCTCGTGTACCTCACACCTTGCTCACATCAGGCTTGCCTTTCAGTCTTTCACAACTATGTCTGTCAAATTGATATATGTTGTACACACTTGTGTCTAAAAAGAAGAGACTATGGCATAGTGAGACCGTTTTCTTCTCTGTTAGGTTTGTTGAAATAATTAAAATCCAATCTTTAAGGGAAATGCCATTTCAACCTTCTTTTTATTACCGGGTCCATCCCTTTTTAATCTCCCCCTTTGGGTTTAGGATGTTTGACTAGAGTTATTTTCAATTCAATTTATTTGAATATTGGTATTGCGCAATGGTATCGTTTGTTTCATGTAGCCAACCCCACCTAGTGGGATAAGGCTTTGTTGTTGTTGTATTGGTGTAAAATTAAAAAAGAAAATTCATATATTCAGGAACTACATCAAAAGCTCTATTAAACAAGAGGCAATTTGACTATTCTGTTTTCAAAATTGATTAAAGAAAATAAGTAAAGAAACAAGATATGGTTTATCAATAGTAAATGTGATGATTTAAAAGGGACCGGGGGAGTATATAATTTTATGTTTTTTATACTTTCCCACTGAACTACTTCCTCTGTCCACTATTTTTCTTCCTGGTTTGACCGGCACACATATTTATGTGGAATGAAATTAACATTGACTCTCCTAAAATACCCTCAATCCCTCCCCCAGTAATCTGTGCTCCACCCGCTTCTCTCGCATGTGTATTTACTTGACCTTCCAAAATATCCTTCACCAGAATGGCAGAATAGCATTGCCGCACCTATATCAGAGCTCTTAGTTCCGGCGAGTATGACACAGAGAGGAGCAACTCAGTGACAGCCGTCCTGATCATGCAAGGGTTACACACACCTTCAGATCTGTTCAGATCAAGGGCGAGTTACTCCATCTGCAAAGACTGCAAGTGAGATCCGACAGACATGAGACAGGCACAACAGTGCTGGATGGACATGAGATGGCACAAAATCGCTCAGGCAGAGATACGATGCAACATTCCGGTCCTACTCATGGGGGATATTGATGGAATATGTTGATAAGAAGAAGAAGAAGACAAGTTGAAAAGAAGAAGATGAAGAAAAGTTAAAAGACACAGTTGGATGGCTGGGAGAAATTTTGTGTGTGTGTGGGGGAGGGGGGGGGGGAGGGAGAGATGATAAGTGCTGGACGAAGTAGGTACTAGGTGGAAGTTTTAGAAATGGTTAAGGGTGTGTAGGACATTTCACAAAGAAAAATCTGCCAAAATAGGAAATGGGAAGAAAATTAATGGACAGACCTGAAAGGAAAGTGGGAAGGAAAATAGTGGACGGAGGGAGTAACATTTTTTGACTGCATAGAAAACTAACCATAATTCCTTGAGAAATTAGATTTTCATTAACATGATTAAAAGTTTTGTTAGAAAATGTTTTTGACTATAATCAAAATGTACGTCTTACATTCACTTCAAGTTGTAGATGATTATAAATGTTTATTTCCTACCTCCAACTTCGACAATGGATAAGTATTAGACCATTGTACCATTTATATGTTGTTAGAATTCTTTACCAAGTTCCTTGCATTGGTATTCTAACTGTTTAACATATTCATGTTGAATACTTGGGTTGTGAAACGTACATATCATGCCGAGTACTTAATTTTGTAAAGCGTTTTTGTTTTCTTCTATTTTTATTCCCCATTGATGCTTTGAATTTACTCTTCGTTGTTATTGATGATTCACAGTAAAAGGGTCAGTGGTTTTGATATGGCACCTTCTGCTGCTACAATGTTACCTGGTGTCACTGCTGCTCCAGGTACAAATCTGCTCCAGGGTCAGTGGTTTTGATATGTCATGCTTTTTTCTAGGACTTCGTTTCAAAGTTCATTTGAAAATGCATGATTTAATTTTTTGGTAAGCAATTTATTTATATTCTTTTATGGCATGTTTGGGAACATGGATTTGGATTTCAAATCTGGATTTGACTCAAATTCCATGTTTGGGAAACTTAAATTTTTGAATTTGGATTTGAATCAAATTCTTCTCATTCATAACAAAGCTTAATTTGAAATCCATGCACCTCCTCCTGTCATTTGAAATTCAAGATTTCAAATTTTGGAATTGAAATGAAATGCTAGTTGCCAAACACTACCTTAGGCTATTTGGTTTGGTGTCTTAGTCATTAGGTTGATTGTTTAAGTTATTAATTATTATTTTCTTGGTGAAGTAACTCTGTAACTGAGAGGACTTCTGGTTTCATGCTGTGTTTGGTGTTTGTTTTGTTTCTCTTGTTTGTGTGGTTTATGCTCTAAGAAGGCAATGTTGGGCTACTTGCCCCACTGTGCTGACAATGGGTGTGAGCCGACTACTCTAGCTTTAATGTACAAGGAAGAATCAATACAGGTTTTTATTTTATTCTTCACCAGGAATCACTTGATTGCTAGCTTTACCAATATTCTCACATTCTCATACATATCTAAATTTCAATTTTCCCTTATTAATTCGTAAATCATATTACACCCCAAAATGAAGCATAGTAAATATTTTAAAAGCAAAATATATGTGTTAGACTAAATTTATTACTAGGAAATATAGACATTCAGCAACTTTATTCACTATGTTGAGTTATACCTTCTTTCTACTCTGCAGGTCAGGTTCCTGGAACCAGCCCAGCTGTTCCTGGAATGTTTTCTAACATGTTTCCCATGGCACCAGGACAGGTAACCCTTTTCCTTCTGCATCTGAAGATATGTACTGCAATTCTTGTTAACCATTTTGATTTTGTACCGAATGCGTTTGAATAGCAGTTTGGGGCACTTTCTATGATGCCTGTTCAGGCAATGACTCAGCAGGTTGGCACTTGTTATACTACTTGTATGCATATTGTTATATGCTCTGTTGCCAGAAGTCTTATTTCAGATGTCACATTATCAGGCTACCAGACACGCACGTCGAGTTTATGTTGGTGGACTTCCTCCTAATGCAAATGAGCAGGTATTACAGTTTACCTTTTTTTGCAAACTCCATCTGAAAGTTTTGAGGAGTAATATTTGGAAGATGATTTGTTTAATGTTTTTCGCCTCAGTAGCTTCATCTCATTATTCTCATCTGTTTGGCTTCTCTATATTTTGACTATATTACAGTGGACCTTCCTGTTATCATTTGTTACTGTATTCCCCTTTTACCTGTTGGGGGGTTCCCTGATTTTACATTATAGGTATATATATTTTTCAGAAACAGCCTCCTAGGCAGGGATAAGTTAGGCGTATATGCATCCTCTTTAAACCCCACTAGTAGGATTTTATTTGTTTTTTTTTGTATCAGTTTGTAGAACTTATGGGGTTGGTCGCATGGCAACATCATCTCTCAAGTATATTTTGCTACTGTGTATTTAAACGTTCTAGAATGCAAAATAATGCTAATGTAACTCTACTGATTTCCCTGTAGTCGATTGCAACCTTCTTCAGTCATGTTATGTCTGCAATTGGAGGAAACAGTGCTGGTCCTGGTGAGTCAACTATAGTCCCATCTATGATTATTTATTTGTTACTCTCTCCGCCCCAAATTAAAATGCCACTTTGTCCGGACATGGACTTAAAGAAAAGTGTAAAGTGTGGTAGGAATTGATATGAAAGAGAGAAATAATGACGGATTCCTAATGAAAAAAAGGAAATGAACTTTAACTTTGAGATGGACCAAAAAGGAAAGTTTGTTATGTATTTTGGGACGGAGGGAGTATAATCTTTTCAGAAGCTAAGGTTATTTATTATTCATCTTCTCTCAGGAGATGCTGTTGTCAATGTTTATATAAATCATGAGAAGAAGTTTGCTTTCGTTGAAATGAGATCTGTTGAAGAAGCCAGCAATGCCATGGCCTTGGATGGCATTATTTTTGAGGTAAGGAACATGTATCTATGTCTTAATCAACTTTAGACCTGACAAAACAGAACTGGATCTGATTACCCGAACTGAATAACCCTAAACAAAAATTGAAATGACCCGGTAACTAAAGACCCGATCTATAATAAAAAAGTTCTGAAATGATCTGAATCAAACCAAAACAGAACTAAATATTCTCAAACCGGAATTAGAACCAAAACTGATTTGATCTAAACAGATCAGGCCCGAAATTGATCAAAACCAAAACCGATTAGATCCAAAGCTGATTAGACCCAAAACCGATCAGAACTGAATCCGATTAGAACTGAATATAATCTATGTATACTCTATATGTTTAAAAAAATTATACAACACATACATATTTGTATGTGTCTACATGTAAATTTGCATATAAAATATTTTATATTTGTATAACATATGAATTATATGTGTGCAGACACATACAAGATAAATATGGAATGTCTATAGAGTTTGCATTAATTACTTCTTTAAAATTTTAGTTATAGGCTATAGCATACTCTCTTCAATCAAAATTGATCTTCTTGATTGGAATTGGCATAAACTTTAAGAGAAGTGAGAATAGGTGGTTGAAAGTGATGCATATGAGAGAGAACAATGGGGAGCCACAAAAGACTTTCTAGAGAACGAAAAATGATGCTTTTTTTGGGATGTCACAAAAAGGAAAACAGAAGATTTAATTTGGGACAGAAGGAGTATAATTTAGTGGAAACACTAATAATAAAAATATAATACATATGTAGCCATATATTTATTGAGAACAAATGTTAAATGGATCGAATATCTAATTGCTATATTTGTGTCCATTTTAGTTTAGATATCAACAATCAGATTTGGATAAATATTTATTACTCTTTCTGAATGACATAGTCTGTTTGGAACTAAAAAACTCCCAGGAAATTAAAATACAGACGAAACTATAACGGAAATCAGGAATGAGAGAAAATATTCGGGAAAACATGACATTGGTTCAAGCTCAATAAATCAAATTCTGATATTTGTTCAATTGAAAGAACCCAATATATTCCCAATTCCCTTGGGGTCAAGGGGTCTATACACAACCTTACCCTAACCCTGTAAGGAACACAAAGGCTATTTCTGCTAAGACCCTTTATACTTGTTCAAACTCATTTTATTTTTTATTTACTTATTTATTTATTTATTATTTTTACTATATAAAGACTAATAAATTTAATCATATGTAAAAATATAAAATGTATTAATCTTATTTTACTCTCTTTTGCATTTTCCAAGGTAAAACCAAACACTAGAAAACAACTTCCACTAGCATTTTTTCATTTCCCTGGCATTTCCAAGAAACTAATGTACGCTTAAGAAACCCTTAGATCTAAAAGGACTGATCTTTTATTAGCAGCACTGCAGCATTGTCCTGGAAAATTTAAGAACAGAAACCTTATTTGTTAGTTTCTGGATTTGCTAATCATATAAAGTAGGCAGACGATAGTAGTCTTTTTTCCTTATCCTTATTTCCTCCTAATTATTTATCTTAAAATCCAGGGTGGACCTGTTAAGATCAGAAGACCCAGTGATTACAATCCCTCACTGGCAGCCTCTCTTGGTCCCAGCCAACCGAGCTCTAATCTCAATCTTGCGGCTGTTGGATTAGCACCGGGTTCTGCTGGCGGGCTTGAAGGCCCTGACCGTATTTTTGTTGGTGGTCTCCCTTATTATTTCACGGAGGCACAGATCAGGGAATTGCTGGAGTCTTTTGGCCCACTTCGAGGATTTGACCTGGTGAAAGATAGAGAAACTGGAAACTCAAAAGGCTATGCTTTTTGTGTTTACAACGATGTTTCAGTTACTGATGTTGCTTGTGCTGCACTTAACGGGATTAAAATGGGTGACAAAACTCTCACCGTTAGACGTGCTAACCAAGGTGCTACACAGTCTAAACCTGAGCAAGAGAGTGTCTTGCTGCATGCACAACAACAGATTGCCTTGCAGGTAAGTTATTATGCAATTGCATTCTATTTTTAAGCATAGTAATAATTTTTTTCACTACAATGAACCTCAGCGGCCTGCCATGTTTCCAATTGGATATTGGCTAGGGACATGCACGCACAATAAATATTGTGTTATTGCCTGTGTATACCATAGTTATCAAGGCATCGCCTAGGCGATCTTTAGGCGTCTGGGCGAGGTCATATGGACGCAAAACTGCTCGCCTAGCTTTTTTTGTGGAAACACTGGAGAGGAAGATGACTGGAAGAAGCTTGAGAGAGGAAGGAGTAGAAGAAGATCTGAAGAAGACGAAAGAGAGAGAGACTGAGGAAGATCGAGTTTACCTTACTCGCCGATGCTGATTCATTGTCGCGACTGCCAAGATATCCAGCGACTCTTCTAAACCCTCTGACTCTCTGACTCTCTCTGACTCTCCATAGTTATTTAGGTTAACTAATTTGGGCTGAGTTTATTAAAAGAGAAGTGGGCCTTTACACTTTTTTTTTTATGAAAGGGTTTTTTTTATTGCATTCTAATATAGGGAACAAGAGTGGGTCCATTCTGAAGAAGTGGGCCTTTACACTTATTAATATAGTTCTTTATTAAAAGAGCATTGGGCCCAAATTTGATTTCACTTTAAAAAAGTTTTAAATGATCACTAACTTGTAAAAAATATTTACTTAATTTTCTGAATATATTTTTAAATTTTATTTTTCTGAAGAAAAACATTCATTCATATATTTCAGAATATAGACTCTTTATTTTTTTGGGTTCATATGTTCTCTTTAATTACTTATTCCATATTATATGCTTTTATATTAATACCTATAAAATATTAAAGTTGTCATAGCCACTCGCCTAGAGGACGCCTAGGCGGATGCCTAATCGCTTAGGCGATTAGAAGGTACCCGAGCGCCTAGACTCGCCTAGTCGCCTTAACAACTATGGTGTATACTTACCAAGCTCTTATACTCTGCATTTTAAATTTTATGTAATTGTGTTCTGCATAGTTGTGAATGGCGCTCGCCATTAACGCTTATGGCGCCAAAGGCGCTATGGCGAGGTGTTTCCGCCATTGCTCACTGTGGCGAAGCGTTTTACCTAAGGCGCGCCAGAGGCGATCGCTATTGTCGCCAGCGTGTGCCATCTGCGCTCTGCATTTGGAGCAGCGCAGAAGTGTTTTTTTGCGGCGATAGGGAGCAATAGGCAAGCGGATCGACTCGGATAAAACCAACGACGCTTAGGATCGCTAGACCTAAGCGATCCAACCTTGGGAAATATACAGCAGGTTGGATCGGGCCGCAAGATCTGGTCCTCCGCAGGTGTCCTTTGCCCTCTTTTTCCCCCTTTTTTTATGTAGTATACTAGTATTTTTTATATTGGGTATTTCCTTTTTTTCCTTGTTTTTTAAAATTGCTTTGTAATGTGTGGGAGTGGGTTTCATTTTTCGATTTTATGATCTAGTTTTATATCTAGATCTGTTTGAATTTACAGTCTCCCTAACTTTCTTCTCCTTTTTTCCTTCCTTTTTTCTTTTGTTTCCTTTTTTTATTTAAATTTACTTAATAGCCTGTATCTTCCTTTTCAGTTCCTTTTTTTATTGTATTATTATCATTATGATTATTATTATTATGATTATTATGATTATATTATTATTATTATTATTATTGTTATTATTATATGTTCGCCATTTGACCGCCCGCCCCTCGCCATTAAAAAGGTCCTCTCGCCCGCCCCTCGCCACTCGCCATTAACAACTATGGTGTTCTGTGATTCTATTATTTGCCAAGTTGCTATGTATTAAAAATAAAGTCCCCGTTTGACAATTTTTTTAGCATTTAGCTTCAGGGTTTTGAAAATGTTATCCAAATGTAGCTTTTGGCGTTAGCATTTCCAGAGTTAATATACACCATTTAAAAATTATCCAAAATGCCAACTATAAACTTTGTTACCAAATGAAGCTGAAATGTTTTACTTACAAAAAGCGTGTTAACATAAAAGCACTGCATTCCCTAAAATAGCAGATACTGATTTTATTATTATGGTACTCCTGTCCCAAATTATAAGGTTCTTTTTGAATTATGAGGCTTGTTTAAAGTTAATCACACATTTCATGTGTGAGAATAAATGGATAATTAGCAAACAATACTTGTGAGAAAATTATCTCTCATAGTTACATAGTTATTGCGTTGTCGCCTAGGCATCGCCTAGGTGTCCAGTCGGAAGATTTCTCCCGCCTTTCCCATTTGACTCGCCTAATTTTCCAGATCTCGCCTAGTCGTCGCCTTAGAGACGCCTAGACGTCCGTGCGTTCCGACTTGGGTGACTTACGTTGTAAATAATAAACATATTTCAATAATCGATCAAGAATTGGAGACGGCTTGCGATCGTGTTTCCCTACCTCGTCACTGCGCTGGAATTTTGTCGCAATCTTCTCTGTGTCTCCGTTCTTCTTCTCTCTTTCGGAAATCGTCGTTCTTCTTTTCTTTCGGAAATCGCGCCTGCCTTCTTTTTCGAAAACAGTGTCTGCCTTCTCTCTACAGTAAGTTTACTCCTTTTATTCTTCGAATTATTTATATTTAAATTTTTAGATCCTTATTTAAAAGTTTGTTGAAATGGTTTCACTCCTCCACTTCAGCCTTTTTTAGGGTTTCTTATTATTAATGATCTAATCTTCCTTTCATATCTTCTGCCACATTAAATTGGAGTGTTTTTTTAATCTTTCTCTGCCACATTAAATTGGAGTATTTTTTTAATCTTTCTCTGCCACATTAAATGATTTTTTGAATTTTTCTTTGCTGATTTAATTTTTTAAATGTTCTTTTATAAAAAATTAAATGTTTGTATATTTGTTTTTTAAATGGCCGGAATAATTTATATTATTTTTAAAATTATGTATCAAGCAATGACTTTTTCAAGCAGGAGCAGCCACCAGCCACTACTTTTCTTGAGGGTTTTTGAGACTTTGTTGTGACATAATTTCTATCATTTGGATGTAAATCTTACTGAATTTGAAATTTAAACTTTATCTATAACATATAATGTGGTATATTTATATTAGTGTTACTAATGTATAGCAATTATCATTTACTACTAGTCGCCTTATGGTCGCCTAGGCGGGCGCCTAGACGCCTAGGTGTCATGGCGTTACACTGGCGCTGCGACTCACCTTGGCGACGTGATAACTATGCATAGTTATCAAGGCGTCGCCTAGGCATCTGGGTGATGTTTTGTGGACGCCTAGCTTTTTTTTTACCTCGGCAAAATGTGAATCGTGAGGAAGATCGGAAATTCTTGTCAATCCTCCGAATCGGCGATTAAGATCGCGAGATCGTAAGCTCTGCTTGGATCGCGATCTACGGAAGCGACATTTACGTGCTGAAAAATTGAAGCGATAAGCTACGCGACCCTTCAGTTTTGACGGCAAACCCTGCTACAGTGTGTCGACTCTTGTGCGCGACTCTTTTCAATAAAATAGTAAAGTGTTGTGTTTTTTCTCTAACTACGGAGTAAAACATAAGGAATTTGTTATTTGTGTTCTATTTGTTTTGAGGATATCTATTTTATTTTATACTAGATTACTAGGTTTGGTTCAAGGAATTTAAAAAAAGAATATGTTTTTTTCTTTTTATTTTTTTAAAACAACATTTGTTCATAAGTTTCAGAGTATGTATTCTTTAATTACTTATTTCATACTATATGCTTTTAAATTAGTACCTATGAAATTATTAAGGTCGCCATAGCCCACTCGCCTTGGGGAGTTTTGGTGTGCGCCTAATCGCCTAGGCGATTGGAAGGTACTCTAGCGCCTAGCCTCGCCTAGCCGCTGTAACAACTATGTTATCTCTCACTCTTATAATACATGAGCATCTTACTTGCTATATGTGCCTCCAATTTTTTACCTAAACAAGAATTACAAGACATTTTTTAACCAGTTGTTGGGGAGTTTACTTAATGGAAGTGTTAGAAAGTAGGCAATGTAAATGGAGGGAAGGGGTGGAATAAGTTGCTACCTTATTCTTGTTTGGGAGGATAAAAAGAGAGTCCATTGACAAGGAAGCTAAAAGAGTAATTTTGAAAATGTTTTAGCTTCGGATAAATAGTTGACTTAATAAAAAAGGCACATTAAACTTCCCCTGCTTTCCACTTTATATGAAGTTTTAGGCAGGAAATGCAGCAATGCATCAAGGGTCTCATGGAAACAAACCTCTTTGTGCTTCACAATGGTAAGGTTGCGTACATCATGACCCCAAACCTCAATGGAGTTGGGATTATACTAGGGTGCTTGTTGTTATTGGAAGAGGATAAAGCGAGGGTGGAGAAGTAGGTGCAAATTACAACCGTATGGGAAAAAGATGATGAAGACGGTGATTGCCAAGGTTTGAAGGATGTGATAGAGTGATGGTAGAGAAGATACAAATATTTTCCTTCTTTTTTTTTAAAGCTCATGTCACAGCACCCCAAACAGGGGGTGGTCGCCTTTCCCACACTTTCATTACCTGCACCCTCTTACGCCAGTACACTCTTTCCAAAGAAGTGGTAAGTATCATACTCCCTCCGTCCCAAAATGAAGTTTACATTTTCCCTTTTGAAATGTTCCCTTCCCTACTTTCCAAATAAGGAATGAAACATGTGGCTAAAAATGTTTCTCCCTTCTACTCAAATTTCAACACTTTTTATTTAACTCTTCAACTATTTTTATGAACTCAGTGAAGTCAAATCCTAAACTTTATTTAGGGATGGGGGGAGTATTAATTATATAGGCAAGTTGAATCGTACTGTTCAGGAAAGGAAGAGTTAACTTAATTTTGCCCAGGAAGTGTTATTGCTGTAGAGCCTTAATATTTTCAGGCTTAAGATTGAACTACTTCAGCGTGTCTTTGTGTGTGTATTGATACAAATTAGTTCTGGGAGTCGATAATTTAGTATACTCTTGTGATGCTTATACATTTTCAGAGGTTTATGCTACAACCCGGAACACTATCTACGAGGGTTTTGTGCCTGATTCAGATGGTAGATGAAAATGAGCTCAAAGAAGATGAAGATTATAAAGATATATTCGAAGACATTAATATGGAATGTGGGAAGTTTGGTATGTAAATTATGTTCATGGTGGATTTGTTTTTTCTCTTCTCTATGTGTCGTCTCTTGTGAATGGTGTTTTTTTAAATAACTGATTATAACTTTGCTTTTTGGAGCCTTTTGTCTTCATTCAGAATCTATATTAGATTTCCGAAGTATATGCTCACAAAAACCATTTATCTATTTAAATTTTCTGGAAGTTGTATTTATCCCTCATCTAATGTGCATCTCAGCCTTGATGTTGTCACTCTACAGGTAATTTGGTCAATGTTGTTATTCCCCGCCCAAACCCAAATGGTAACCCTACACCAGGAGTTGGAAAGGTAAAATTTATGTACTGAATTTTGATCTATCTAGTTCTGGGAAGAACTTTCCATTGAGTACTTCTGATAGAGTAATAGGCCATTACCTATCCCAATCAAAGAGTGGATTTCAAGTTTTCAACCAAGTTCATTGATAAAAAAGTCAAGTTCATGACATGATGACACTCATCTTTTCAAGCCTCTTAATAATGGCGTGCGGAATTGCGACATCTTTTTCGCCTTTTTGTGTGTTTGCAGGTGTTTTTGGAGTATGCAGATGTTGACAGTGCGACAAATGCTCGCCAAAGACTGAACGGCAGGAAATTTGGTGGCAATGAAGTGGTGGCCATCTTCTATCCAGAGAACAAGTTCTCTCAGGGAGAGTATGATGGCTAGTTTTGAACTAAGTTGGGGGTGGTTACCGCCGGGTAGTCCCACACTACTACTATTTGCCAGAGGAACCCCCCCTAATATCTCGTGCTTTATTATATTTTTTATATTTCTGATCTCTGCATTCATTTAAATCATGGAGGAAAGATGATTTCACCTCCAAATCCCAGGGCTTATCTTCCCGTGCATTACTTTTCATCTCACTGATGTGATCTTATGTATTGTATAATATGAAATCTATAGTAATGGATTGCATTTGAAATGGCTTCCAAAGCCTAAAAATTTCAAAACTTGCACTTTACAACTTTTACACTCCCTCACTTCATATTTTATTGTTCATTCATTTTGGACTGCCCAGAATCAATTATTCACTATTTATATTTAGTAAAAAAACAATTTAAAATTTTCAAAAATACACAAAGGTTGGCACCTCAGCCACGATCACGGATCGCACCGCCCCCTCCCCCTTTGTGAGCTCATTGCATGAACATGGGCGTGGTCGCAATCGTTTGAAGCGAATAGGGCTGTATGGGTACTCCTAAAAACAGAGTCAACTACACTCTATTTGCAGGTTGATTTCTTCGGAGACGAGCCATCGAGAAAGTTGATTTAGACTGATATTCTTGTTTACGCGGTTGTTCTTCTCAAAAGAGGAGTATTCGGCAGGGAGGTCGCAGATAATAGCATTTACCACATCTCTTTCAAGAATCACTTCATTTAGATCTTCTAGATTTGTGAGAATGGTTACAACTTCATCGAGATATTGAGTCATAGTTTTTGTGTCTTTGCAAAGCGTATGAAGTTAGTCTTGAAGTTGATAAATATGAGTTGTGGACACCGAATTATATCGAGCAGCGAGAGCGATCTAGAGATTGGCATAAGTGGTGTGGGGCTTATAACTAGGGGTGAGCAAGAATCGAATGATGTCAAAAAAATTTGAAAAAGTTGAGAAAATTGAACCGAAAAATACCGAACTGAAAATATATCGTTGAAATGCCAAACCATATCAAACCGAATGTTCGGTTCGGTATTTAGAACAGTACGAGGTAACTTCCCGTATTGAAAATCTCAACCCATATATATATATATATATATATATATATATATATATATATATATATATATATATATATATATATATATATATATATATATCTATGTATCTATGTATGTATGTATGTATGTATGTATGTATGTATGTATGTATGTATGTATGTATGTATGTATGTATGTATGTATGTATGTATGTATGTGTGTATATATATATATATATATGTATATATATATATGTGTGTGTGTATATATATATATATATATATATATATATATATATATATATATATATATATATATATATATATATATATATATATATATATATATATATATATATAGAATTAGGATCAGGTGAGAATAGGATCTTATGAGAGAAATGAGAACGCATCTTGGCCGCCCAATCTTCTGGATTTTACCTATTTAGTAGGGATATCATCATGCCCATTTTGGGATTTTCATAACAAGTTTTCTCTCTCTTATCTATTTAGGTTCTTCCCCAATAATTAGCCCACGATTTTAGCCATTCACGTCTTCTGTTTCGTTTTCTACAGATCAAATATGGCATCAATTTTTAGTCTATTTTTGTTCTACTTTATCTTCTCCGATGGTAGGGATTTATCACAATTTTTATTAATATCATTGAATATCATATGTTTCATGTATGATAATCAATTAATTCACTTGTATAATTTTAAGTGATGAATTATAGTTGATCGCAGCTTTTAATCGAGAACTCAAATTCTATTATCAAGAATTCTTTTTTTTGAGTTTGTTTTCATTTTGTGTAACCATGTTGCAATTTTTCATTCCCAAGACGCATTATTCTGGTCTCACGATCCATTATGGTGTTCCAGGATGTACTTATTTTTGTTAATGTTAAGTACTTCCTCCATCTCTGAAAATCTTTCTCCTTTCTTTTTTCATCCGTCCCAAAAACTTTTCTCATTTTTATGACTAAAAAGTCACTTTTCCCCACTAATTCTTAACCTACCTATCACATCACATCTATTCACTATTAATCTACCTATAAAATTCTACGTTTACCGATCACATCTAAGGACATTTTTAAAAACTCAACACCAAAATACACTCTCTTAAATTCCTAAAAATCAAAATCTCCTATGTTTTCATGAACGGAGGGAGTACTTTACTATCTGAGAATGCACAATGAACAGTGGCGTTAAAGTAATACATTTAGATGAGAAGACAATGCATTCTCAAAATCCAAGGATAATGTATTCCCTGTTTCTGCACATTCTTAGAATCAAAGTAAAATGCATCTATTTCGATGAAATCATTCTATCCAAATATGATGCGTTTGTATATTCTAAATAGAAAATTTTATGCAAACGATGATGCATTTAACATATTCTGTGATACATTTGAATAGGGGTTGGAAACACGTTGAATGATGCAAATTTTAATAGATTACAATATGTATATAATAGGTCCAAGTGATGGGAGTCTCTTTGAAAAAATAAATCATTGCCTATTAGCTCAAATGGTAGAGCAGTATGTACTACATATGTGGGTTCGAATCCTGCATAGGCAAACTATTTCTCAAAACCTATATTACAACTATTTGGAATATAATGCATTCTTTGACTTTCTCACCGAATACAAAGTCATGCAGGAGTCATTCTTGGCTAATCCATAAATTAATAGAATGAAATTTGAATAAAATCTGGAGGACAAATCACAATGCATATATCGGTCATCACAGTGCATGCACATCACATCAAAGTGCATCTTGTCGAGATAAATCTGGAAAAGGGGATATTTAAAATCATTTCATAAATTAGATGCATTTGAGACGAAAGGAGTAGCATTGAGAGAGTGTGTAACATCCCAAAAAATAGTCTAAAAATTATATAAGAAAAAAGTATGTATAAATGTACTTTTCTTACTTAGCTTTGAAATGTGAGAAGAAAAAAATAAACATTTTATATTCAACATTGGTGTCATTTGGTAGATCTCGACGAGAGATTTCTAACGACATATTATTTGTCAAGAATGGACTTGTATGCACAATAATTAAATAAAATGAATTTTATATGTTAATATAATAAAATTCTCCTCAATACACCATACGGTATCACGTTTGGTTATGCATTAAGATACATAGTATTACCTTAATGCCCTTCATAGTTAACTTTCTCCTAAATTGGTGCATTGTAATTAATTCTTTCCTTTTAAATTGAATATTAGTGATTTCATCTGTGTTTAATGATCTCCGTTCGATGCATCTCATCGAATGACTCTCCTTTATTCTTATTTCTTTCACCAAGCACCATTCTCACAGGAACCAACCCCTATATATATATATATATATATATATATATATATATATATATATATATATATATATATATATATATATATATATATATATATATATATATATAGGATATGATTGACTCTGGTGAGATGACACCTTGTTGTAAGATGACATGTTTCAGTCAGATGACGCTGGAGCTCACCACTGATCACTGCAAAGCTCACCACTGATCACTGCAATACTCACCACTGTCCACTGCAAAGTTCATCCATGATTTTCCAACACTTAACTTTTTTCAAAATTTGATGGTTAAATGCTCATAAAGCCCAGCAACAAAGCCCACTGATTCTCATTGCAAAGCTCACCGAATATGTGCACAAAGCTCACCACACTTTAAAGTTTAAAATGACTTCGAAAAAAAAACAAAGGGCGGTGGTGCTGACTTCCAACCACTGCAGACTACCGCCGTGGACCGGTGGTTTTTTTTAAAGAAAAAAAGTGGTGAGCTTTGCATTGTTCCTTGGTGAGCTTTCCATTGTCAGTTGGTGAGCTTTGCATTGACAGTTGGTGAGAATTACACTTTGAACGCCCATGACCAATGGCCACCACCGATGACCCCCACTATCGCCGTGAACCGGTGGTTGAGCGGTGGTTGACTGGTGGTTGAATGGTAGTGCTATTTTTTTAACTTTTTTTATTTAAAAAAAGTGGTGAGCTTTCCATTGGCAGTAGGTGAGCTTTGCATTGGTAGTTGGTGAGCTTTCCTCTGACAGTGTTGTGTGTGTTGTGTGATCTGATTGAAGCATGTCATCTTACCATAAGGTGTGATCTCACTGGAGTCAATCTCTATAGGATTGACTCCAGTGAGATGACACCTTATGGTAAGATCACATGCTTCAATCAGATGATACAACACACAACACTGCCAATGGAAAACTCACCAACTGCCAATGGAAAGCTCACCAACTGCCAATGCAAAGCTCACCAACTTTCAATGCAAAGCTCACCACTTTTTTTAAATAAAAAAAGTTAAAAAATAGCACTACCATTCAACTACCAGTCAACCACCCCTCAACCATCGGTCCACGATGACAGTGGGGGTCATCAGTGGTGGCCATTAGTCATGGGCGGTCAAAGTGTAAAGCTCACCAACTGTCAATGCAAACCTCACCAATTGACAATGGAAAGATCACCAAGTAATAATGCAAAGCTCACCACTTTTTTTTTAAAAAAAACTAATAAAATTGCACCACTAGTCAACCACCAGTCCACGGCGGTAGTCTGCAGCGGTTGGAAGTCACCACCACCGCCCTTTAAATTTTTTTGAAATCATTTTAAACTTTAAAGTGTAGTGAGCGTTGTGCACATATTTGGTGAACTTTGCAATGAGAGTCAATGAGCTTTGTTGCTAGGCTTTGTTGTTAGACAAATGTGCAACTCTGGAGGGGGGGTGAATAGAGTTGTTTTCAAGAATATGCGTTTTGCGCGTGTGTGAAATAATAGAATTGCAGGAATAAAATAAAGAGAGTAAGGGAAAGAAGAACACCGAGATTTATACTGGTTCACCACCTCGTGGCTAATCCAGTCTTCCGAGAGACTCTCTCGAAAGTCCTACTAATCTTCAAGCTTCAACGGGTGCTTGAAAAACCGGTACAACTTGAGAACTTGAATCACACAAGCCTCACTTTCTTACAACAACAAGACTTGAGTCACACAAGTCTTATGAACAATTACTCAAAAGAGATTGAGTTATACAACACAAGAATGAAAGCTCACACAATTGAGCAAGTAGTGTTTGAAAGATTTAAGCTCTATGGATGACAACTTCTTTAGCACTCAAAGAAAATATTTCTAACTCTCAAAAATAATATTTTGATGAGGAAGATGAAGCAAAGGATGAATATAGCTCAAAGAATATATTGGAGTGAAAGAGATGTGTATTGAAATGAAGGAGAATGAGGGATTAAATAGGCTGAGGAAAATAAAGCCGTTGGAGCAGGCTGAGAATATGCAC